AAAAGTTGTATCCAAGATGGCCGACTTTTAAATGGCCACCATGGTCACCACCCATCTTGAGGAGTTTGCCCCCTCACATATACTAATGTGCCACAAACAGGACTTTAATATCACCAACCATTCCCATTTTATTACGGTGTATCCATATAAATGGCCCACCCTGTACTTTAAAATGAAGGTCCACATTCAAGTAATGTTAGAGAAGGTGGAAAATAATGGAGCCTGTCAGTATTACTTACTTTCATAATAATGGTTAATGACGAGTTCTACTGATATGCATCTTTGATTTTCTTTTAATTTTTTTCTGTTAATTTCAACTGTATTTTTATTTATTGAGTTATTCACTTCTAATTTTGGATTTTTTTAGTCTGCAACACCAGAAAAAAAATTGCAACAATTTGCTTTATAAATAATTTGCCTAATTGGCTGTTTGTCAACAAATCCATTAATTGTTTCTGTGGTTAGGCTTTTGTGCCGATTACAAGAAAATTTCTGAAATGTAAATAACATATCACTCATTTTTTAAAATATGATCTCACATTTTCATTGTACATTTTTGGGAAAATGAATCCATTTTTCGACAATTTTTTTATTTTCTGATTTTCTGTTGCTCATTGGAGGAAGTCGTCAGCAGAATAGTTTATAATAAAAGTAATCACCCTCCTGTCGGCCTACAAAAAGTCCAGGTACACACATTATGGACACATATACATGTGCAGCCTTCACATGTTGAGGTGACCCTCTCCCTCCTAAAACAGTAAACTGTAAACAGTAAGTAGAGTAGTGTGTGACTCTTCAAAGACATGCCCTTGGCAGCATGTAGCACACACCAAACTCTTCCTGGCCTAGTTGACTGAGACACTGACCGACTTTCCCTGCTTGACAGCTACTGGCAGGGGAAGATGGAAACTACAACGATGCACCGGCACGCACGCACGCACGCACGCACACACACACACACAAATCTGCCAGTGTGCACATACAGACTCACACAGTGTAAAACTAGAACTAAGCACTCTGCTGCCTTCTCTGGAGACAGTGTACTGTATGTGCAAGCCACTGATGCAGTGGTGGGTGTTAAAGCCTCCGGACAAAAAAAAAAAA